AAGGGGGCCCCCCCCCCCCCCCCCCTTTTTTTAAAAAAAAATTGCGGGAGAGGTTTTTTTGGGGGGGCCCCCCCCCCCAAAAAAAAAAAAATTTTCCCCCCCCCTTTTTAAAAAAATGGGGGGAAAAATTTTTTTTTTGGGGGTTTTTTTTTTTTTTGGGGCCCCCCCTTTTTTTTGGGGGCCCCCCAAAAAGGGGGGGGGGGGGGCCCCCCCCCCCCCCCCCGTTTCTCACAAAAATGGGGGGGGGGGGGGGGGGCGTGGAGAAGTGCGCCCCCCTCCCTGGAAGCGATGTCCGCCTGCTCTTACCGTCAGGGCACAGGGGGCGGTGAAGTCGCATCACCCTCATTTCGTAGGTACGAAAAAAAAGGTCCGTTCACACTAACTGAGTGAGCAGTGAGTGAGAAGCACGAGGAAGGTTGTTGCCGGAAGAAGGGGGGACGACATGGATGTAAAATACGAAGAAGCCGCACAAGTAAATTCTATTTCTGAAATTTGTATTTCATATATTTGCAGCGGGGCAATGTGAACCCATTATTACCCAGCTGGCGCGAGCGGCGGCGGTCACTGCCCTCGTGCGGATGGTAGTGGCAGCAGGGAGCGTCGGGTTGAGCTGCGCAGGTGCTGCAAATGGCCGCCGTGGCGGCCGGCGGCAAGCGGTTGCCGTAGTCGGAGGGGGCGGCGGTCCCGGACGTCGCGTTCGAGAGGCTGCACGTCACAGGGCAGGTCATCTTCACTCCTTCGACGCACGCCTCGTCGCACGCTGCGTTGGCCGTAAGGTTGGCCGAGTCGCACAGACCAAAGCCTTTCGCTTGCTTGCACGTCGGGACGAAGCCGGCGTCACACGGCGCCAGAGACGGGGCGAAGGTGGGCTCGCGCGCCTTCGGAATGGGCGTCGCCTCGCGCAAGTCGGAGGGCGCGGGCGCAGCCAAGGCGGCGACGGCGAGAGCGGCCAGCATGCTTGACGGCGACGGCGAGGGGTACGGGGGGTACGGGGGGTCGGGGGGTCGGGGGGTACGGGGCATAGCGCTGGCCAGCAAAGGCCTCGATCTTCTTCGCCAGGAGTTGGTTCAGCGCAGAAGGGAGGCGGGTCGGCGAGTTGAGCCGCATTACGCCCTCGCCGTGGCCCAGCAGCCCTGGAAATTCCTCCGGTGCGTTGGCTGGCGCTGAAAACCCGCACGACGAGAGCCGCCCCTTGCCGTCGATGAAGAGGCTGTGCCGAACGCCTGCGGAAGCCCTCACCGGCGCGTTGGACTCGCGCAGCAGCGCCGCAAAGCACAGCCACCGCACGACGCAGCCCTCGCCCTCCGGCTGCGCCGGCAGCTCGTAGGCGCGCTCTTGCGCCCACAAGCGGATGCCCTCCCCCGCGAGTGAGGCGTGAAAGAGCAGCGAGACGGCCGCAACGCGAGCGATGTCAATGGGGCTGTTGAAGCGGGAGAGGACGCGCACGAGGAGTTCCCTGGGGAGGTCGAGGAGGCGGGCGGGCGGCGGCGCGTCTGGCGAGGGAGCGGCGGTGGAGGCAGAAGCGCGCGAGCGGCGCTTCCGTGCCCCCGAGTTCAAGAGAAAGAAAAATCCAGATTTATTTTAAAGTTTGTGCCCCGTTTGTTATCGAAAAAAGAAATCGCGCTGGCGCGCGGGGAGGAGGGGCTGCGTGCTCGACTGGAGAGCGAGGGGACAGGGCTCGTGCTCGACTGCCTACGCGCCCGAGGAGGCTCTAGCCGGGCTGGACTCGGCCAGTACTCATGCACACTCCCGACGTGGAGGCCGCTTGCGCCGCCGACGCGGAGACGCAGAGCTCAGACGGCACGCGCTTACGCTCTGGCGGCACGCACGCTCACTGGCGCTCCGCCGTCGCGCTGCTCGCGGCCCTTGCACTCGTGGTGCTGCTCGCCGCTCCGTCGGCCGCACCCCGCGTGGCGGGCACCTGGACGGCGCATTGGGCGAAGCAGACCTCCTCCGGCAAGGAGCGGCCGGTGAGCTTCCTGCCCACCCTCGTCCAGTGCGATAGCAGTAGACGGTGCTACGGGCGGTGCGAAGGCGAGCGGCAGCGGGCTGACGGCAGCCGTTGCACGAACGGGTGGTGCCACGGCACTTGCCTTCCTGGCTGGTACCCCGGCTACGCGGGCTGAAGCTCTACTGCGCAGCCCAAGCGCGGGGTGTGCGTACCGTGAGGACGTGTTGCGTGTGCGGCTGCGGGGTTGTGGTGTGCAGAGAGAGGTGCTCAGAACTCAGTGTCTTAGCCGTGTGTGTGCCCCATCGTCATCTACCTCCATGTCCTCAACCCTGGTTCAGAGAGGAGAGACTGCCGAGAGAGTTGGTTCAGAGCGGTCTGTGCGCCATCAGACTTCTTGTGCCAGTTATTATTATGATGTGCTGTGAGAGAGGCTTCTATGGTTATAAGAATTCTCTTATTATTTTCTGGAGTGTTGTCGCATTTCCTGCGCTCGCGGGGCCACAGCCCCTGGGCTAGCTCGGTAGCTGCTGTGGGAACCACCTCAAGGCCGGCGCATGCGCCGGCGATGGACTGACCCAGCAGCTCAAGGGCTCGCGCTTCCCTCACCACCGCGCGCGCGCTGCAGCAGGAGTACCTGCCGCACTGCGACAACATGTCGCAGCTGCCGCTTCTCCGGTCTCTGTGATCGGCCTCCCCGTTCATCGGATGAACTCGGTGATCGTTGTCCGGATCGTTGTGGGCTTCGAGGACGCGGTCAGCGCCGCGCCGGATCTCCTCTCAGATCCGGCGCGGAGTGCGGCTCAAGGCTCAAGGCTCTGCCGGCGGGTCCGGGCCTGGCGCCTGCCAGATGCGGGTCCAAATTCCCCGGCGCTCGCGCGCGCCACCGCCCCCGGCGCGGGGTGGGATGTCAGTTCGAGAGTTCTGTGTTCCCGTCCTGTGCTCCACCTTCTTCTCCCGCGTCAGTCCCATGAGAACCCCACTATATAGCGCCGCCTCGTGAGCTGTCCTGTGTGCTGTGTGCTGTGTGTCCAGCAGTCCGGACCCAGTGCTACGGCCGGTGACAGCGTGCCTCGTGTCGGCTCCCGAGCCAATCGTGTGCAGCGTGTGTGTGCGTGTGGGCCCGTCCTCCATGCTAGGAGGTGTGTAAGACTAAGGTCTACGCCCTTAGTAAGACTCAGCTGGTAAGACCGACGTGCGACTTTTTCTGGAGTGGTTGTCGCGCCTCCACAGCCAGCCGCTCGTCGCCACTGCTGGCCATCCCCCAGAGCCAGCAGCATGTCCGACGCCGTGCTAAATTTCTCGGACTGGCTCGGCATGCTCCACGATGCGGCCGCAAAAGGCGCCGCAGACGATGCCTCGGTTCGCGAGACGGTCAACTCGATGGAAATGCTGGTTCGGTCGAGCCTCGACGAGGCACTCGCCGGCATCTGCTCTCTCTGCTTCCCGGCGGCGGCCGACGGCGGCGGTGGCGGGGATGGCGGCCTGTACGCGCTGCTGCGTGCCTCACTCCAGGGCGACACGCAGCTGAAGAACCTCGTCGACCTGCGGTGCGAGGTGCTCCGCTTCCTCGAGGTGCTGATTGAGGAGCACGTGCTCGAGCGGAACCTCGAGCGGAACCTCGGCGTGCACATCCTCGCCATCTTCGACGCGTGCACCCTCACCTTCCGCAAGGAGCGCTCGAACAAGGTGCGCGAGCTCTGTTTCCACCCGCTCGTCTACTGCCTCGACCTGCGGGACAAGTGCCCCGAGCGGCACGCGCTCGCCGACCGGATCTTCGGCTCCTCGATGCGCGACAAGATCCGCAACCCCGCGCTCGTCGACCAGCTCTGGAACCACCTCTCTTCCTCGCCGTCTGCCTCCACGCCCACCCTGCGCGGCGGCTGCTTCAAGCTGCTCGGCACCGTCGCCCGCCGCTTCCCGGTCGAGACGTCGGTCGACAAGCGGTTCGAGGTGCGGCACCCGACGTCGCTCTACCACCGCGCGATGAAGACGCTGCAGGCCCAGACCGACTCGGCCGCGCCAAAGCTGCCCGAGGTTGCCGGCGCCCTCTCCGGCCTCGACGGCCTCCTCATCGACGCAGAGCTGAAGCCTGCAGACGTCGAGCTCGTGTTCGAGGTGGTGCTCAAGTGTCTCTCGGTGGACCTCGACGAGGTGAAGCGGTACACGATGCCTCGCGCCGCGCTGACCTGCCTCGGGAACAACGTCCCCGTCTTCGCCGCCCAGACGCCCGCACTCGTCGACGGCGAGCCCGCGCCAAGCGCCTCGGCGTGAGGGCTCGGGCGGCCTGCCTCGCAGCTTCCGCGGAGCCTCACCTGGTAGGCGAGCTGGTGGAAGGGCCTAGGCTGGCGGACTCGCTGCTGCTGCGGAGGGCGGCGGACCTCTGGCCGCCCCTCAAGCGCCTCGCCTCGCACTCGAACCAGTTCCTCCGCCCAAGGAGGGGGCCGCGTGCTGTGAGCAGCGCCTCTCTTCACAGCTGCAGCCGTGTGAACAGGTACCTGCGCCCCCTCGCGGACGGCGTGCTGCGCGAGGTGCTGCACGCCCTCGCAGGCGAGCTCGCCGCTCGCAGCGAGGCGGCAAGGCGCAGGCGGCGTCTCTGCTCACGGCTGTGTTCACGGCTGTGTGCGTGAGCAGGCCAGCTCGCCGCCGCCTACGAGGCAGGAGGGGCGCTGCGCGACGGAGCCGTGGCGATGTACAACACGCTCCTGCGCGCGTTCCGCGAGATGGAGACTGCCGCGGAACGCGGCGAGGAGGGAGGGCGCGGCGAGGAGGGAGGGCGGGGCGAGGAGGGAGGGAGCGGCGGCGCGACTCGGCCGGCGGCGGCGCAGACGCTGCGGATCGGCGGGATCGTGCGGCTGCGGAGCGAGCTGTCGCCCGCCGTGGCGGCTCTGAGCGGCGTGGAGAAGGCCGGAGAGCAGCTGCGAGGCAACCGCCGCACGCCCGCAGCGGAGAGACAACTCACTAACTCGCTCACTCACTCACTCACACTCACTCACTCACACACACACACACACGCGCGCGCGCGCACACACACACACACACACACACACACACACACACACACACACACACACACACACACACACACACCTCTGCCTCCCGCCCCGCCCGCAGACCTCTGCCAGTTTGCGGCCCGCTTCTTCGCGCCGCACGCGCAGCCGCGCTCGGCTGAGGCAGGGCAGACCCTCTCCGGCCGAGCGTTCGAGCTCCCAACTTCCGAGGTGTGAACAGCGCTTCTTCACATCACTTGCTGTGAATAGGCCGAGCGTTCGAGCTCCCAACTTCCGAGGTGTGAACAGCGCTTCTTCACATCACTTGCTGTGAATAGGCCGAGCGTTCGAGCTGCCCAACTTCCTCGAGGCGTTCGCGCTGCTGCTGCCCCACGCGCCGACCGGCACCGCGGGCCTGCTCGAGACACTGCACGAGCTGCTCTACCTGCTGCACGAGTACTACGGCGTCCTGCAAAAGAAGCACCGCGCGCACGCCGCCGCCGCCACACAGCTGCTCTTCTCCGCCCTCGCCGGCCGCGGCGACGAGCTCGACCTCCTCCTCGGCCGGCTTGTCTACCCCGCCCTCACGCTCGCAATCGACTCCATCCCCGACGTCGCCGCCGGCAGCGGCTCCGCCGGCAGCGGCGTCGCCTCTTCGGCTGACGACGGCGGCGGCGAGGACGGCGGCGGCGGGGGCGGGGGCGGCGGCGGCGGCGTTGTCCACCTCGCAACGTATCTGTGGGTGCCCGTCCTCGACCCACTCTTGCGCCCGCCGGAGCGGTTCGAGGGGCAGGCGCGGCGGCGCGGAGAGAAGAAGTACGCCAAGGCGGCGGGCGGGTGGCGCGGCAGGGCGGGCGAGGGCGCCGCAGCCGCGGGTCGAGAGGAGACGTGCGCGCAGACGCTCGAGCACGTGCTCAACGCTCTGACTCGCATGATCGGTACGCTCGACGTGAGCGCCATCGCGGCCGCGGAGGAGGAGGAGGAGGAGGAGGCGCCCCTGGATTCCGCTCCCGCTCCTATCGCCGACGCCGCCGACGCCGCCGACGCCGCCGACGCCGCCGACGCCGCCGACGACGGCACGGAAGGGCTGCTTGCTCCCATGGGCGATGGCGCCATCAAGCAGTCCAAGAGCGGCGACGTCGCGGTCTTCCTCAAGCTCGTTCACTTTTGCGAGGCGCTGCTGCCGGCGCTGCGGCCGAGCTTGCTGCACCGGTGGCTGCACGTCCTGCTGATGGACCTCGTCACCAGGGCCTCGCGCGCGCCGCACGTCTCGGGCTTCGCGAAGCTTCTCCGCACGCTGCTCCAGACGTGCGCACGCTGCAGCTACTTCGACCCGCCCGCCACCTCACCCGGGACGAGCGACGCCGCACCAGCCGCCGCCTCCGAGGCCGCCGAGGCCCGGGCGGTCGCAGGCTCGGCAGACTGCAACCGCGAGCGGTGCTACAGCATGCTGCGCGCCTACCTCGTCTCGCTGCTGGCTCGAGCGCGGCGGCTCAAGGACGAGCTCTTCGCGGCGGTGGTCAACCTGCTGCTCGCCGCGCCGCTGCGCTTTGTCGGGGAGCAGCTTCGCCGGCCGAGCCCACCGCTGGTGGAGCTGCTCCGGCACGCGCTCGCCCTCGGCCACGCCTACCTGCCGCTCGCCCTGACGGCGCTCAGCGCGCTCGAGAAGTGGATGGCCGAGCTGCAGCCGCTCCTTCAGCCCCACTTGCCCGCGCTGCTGCCCGCGCTGCGCGAGTACCTTACCGTCGACGCATCGGAGACGGCCGTCGCAACGGCGCGCGTCGGGGGCGCGCTCGGCGACAAGGTTGGCCGGCGGATGCTCGAGCGGACCGGCAACCGGCGGAAGCGGCGGTCGCGCGAGCAGCACAGCGAGGAGGAGCGGCTCCAGGCGCGCGTCGTGCAGCTGCTCGGGCGGGTGGGGGGGGAGGTGGTCCTGCTCGTGCAGCCCGGGGGCGGGGGCGGGGGCGGGGGCGGGGGCGGGGGCGGGGGCGCGCGGTGGGACCTTGAGGAGCGCGTGGCGTGGGACGTCCCTCTCGAGGAGGAGAGGGACCTGAGCGTCCACCTCGACACGATCCTGCCCCGCGTGCTCGAGCTCGCGACCTCGTCGCTGCAGTACCGCGAGAAGGTCGCCGCGTGCGAGCTGCTCGAGGCCAGCGTCAAGCTCTGCGTCGGCATCAATGCGAACGCG